CCACGCCTAGGTGTATATCTCAAGAGAGGTGAAGATATGTTCACACAGACATGTACTGGATGTTCCCAGCAGGATTGTGCACCAGAGCAAAGCGATGGACCAGCTCAGATGTGCACCCCCTGCGGATGGGCCCTTAAGGCGCATCCATGCCATGAAAGATAGTGATCCTTCTACTCATGGCTTCACTTTTCACAGTTTCAGTTACCCAAAGATCCTACAGTCTAAAAATGTGAAATGGTAAATTTCAGAAATGAACAGTGTTTATGTTGTCCCTTTTTCTGAGAAGCGTGACAGAATTTCACCCCATCCTAATCCGTCTGCCTGGGATGTGAATCATCTCATCATGCAGTGTAGCCTCGCTGTGTAGGCAGTCTGCCCAGTAGTCACATATTAGCTCTCATGGTTACCAGGCTATTAGTATCTTGGCCACATTGTAGTGCCCGTGTGTAAGGAAACCTTACTTTCATAATCATGGTGCCAGAGCCAAAAAGAATGATGCTGGTGATTCAGACATGTGGAAGAGAAGCAATAAAGCACCTCCCCAGAGTGAAAGGTGAAAGTTCTGGGCCTCAGAAGAGAAACCAAATCCTGTGTACAAGTTGCTAAGCTTGATGATAAGAACAAATTTTCTGCCTGTGAAATTATGAAGGAAAGAATTCATGCCTAGTGTGCTGTTGCAACTTAAACTATAAGTTATACCCCACCAGCTCCTGAGTGCTGAGCATGGAAAAGAGATTAAAATGTTCAGTGCTCTCCAAGGTTTCAGGCATCTGATGGGGGTCCTGGAATGTCCCCCTTGGATACAGGAAAGCTGCTGTATTATTTGCCAATATGAAAGTGCAGTAAATAGGAAGAGTTGAGTTCTAATGCTATACAATACAACAGTATGGCCGTAGTCCATGCACAGCAATCTGTACTTGTTTTATTATTTTTATTTTATAAAGAACTGGAGAAAAGGAGTTCTAAAATTTCTGACACAAAGAAGTGATAAGTATTTAAGGAGTTGGAAATGCTAATCACCCTGACGTTGTCAGGACACACTTGTATACACATATCCATTTGTCACATGGTACCCCATGAAGACCCAAAGTCTATGAATGGTTACCTGTGGCTGAGAGGAAAGGGCGGGCAGGAAGGGAAAGTGACTGAATGGTTCAAGGCTTCTTTAGGGTGATGAGAATGCTGTAAACTTAAATAGTGGTGATGTTTGCATCACCACATGAATGTATTTAAAAATCCTTGGATTACAAGCTCTGAATGGGTGTTCTGTTGTATGAATGTGTTGTACCCCTGCTGCTGGGCACTTAGGCCATCGCCAGCCTTTGGTAGCATATGGCAAGCTATAGGAGACCTCCTTGGAGTGTCCATCTTTGCACACATGTGATTTTCATATGCTACATCCTTAGAAATGTCGTCATCATGTTCTCAATCTTTTGCCCAGGGTCCTGATCCCGATGCCCGCCCCAAGAGCACAGGTGTCTTCCAGGATGAAGAGCTCCTTTTTAGTCACAAGCTCCAAAAGGACAATGACCCAGATGTTGACCTTTTTGCTGGCACCAAAAAAAACAGGGTTAGTTCTCCACGTGACACTTTGTCACTCTGTTAGATTCCATCTCAGCTCCTCACTCAGCTCTTGATATAAACCACTTTCCTTTGGGGGGCTGAATCTGAAAGTTGTCTGTTCCAGTTGGCAGAGCCGATCATGGGGACCCTGTTTGGTGATGATGAAGATGAGGATCTTTTCAGCTCTGCCAAGATCCAGCCTGTGGTATCAGCCTTTTCTCTGTACTGGGGATGTGAGAGAGGAAACTAATGTCCAGTTATCAGAGGAAGAATGAACAGAGAGTTGTAGTGCCAGATCATATGCAAATAGCAGCCAAACATTCTGGTAGGATCATGTGTTTGGGATCTCAGCTCATGTGGTTGCCCATCCTGTGTTTCCTCACTTGACATTAAAGCCGTTACTGGCCCAGGCCCTCTGACTGCGTTACAAACATGTTTGATTTATTGCAAAATCATTGCACGTGCTCCAGAGACTTTGTTTTAGGGCCTCTCAGGTACAGACTGATTTGAGTTCTAACCCACATGTGTTTCTTCCTTCCTGCCCCACTAGATTTTATTTCTGTCACAGAGAATGCTGTGAAAGACACATTCTTCTCTTTCTTTTCTTTTTTTTTCCCCCTTTGCTGTTGTAGTTCTGGGCATCAAGGCTGGGGCCTTGTGCATGTTAGGCAGGCACTTTACCACCAGCTGCACTCCCAGCCCTGGAAAGCCATAACCCTCAGAATGCTCTTTCTGAAATGCTACTTTTTATTTTTGGGGGGTTTTTTTTGGTACAGGGGATCGAACTCGGGACCTTGCACTTGCAAGGCAGCCGGTGGAACCACTGAGCTAAATCCCTGGCCTGAAATGCTACTTTTGAGCTGCTCAACCCTCATTGGAGAAGAAAATTTTTAAAATCCAGAAATCAGATTCCTCCTTGAATTATGATTTTTCTTTAAAATTTTTAAGATACATGATATACTTCAGCATTTTTTCCTTTTGTAGGTACCAGAAAAAAAGGTGGTAAAAAAGACCATTCTGTTATCTCTTCCAAGAACCAGAAGCATCCTGAATCCACCCAAAGTAGCAAAGAGAAAAGCATATGGAAACCAGAAACTGAGCAGGTTAGATATCTTTAAGGATTTCCAGCTCTTATCGCATCTAAGTATAGGTTAGTTCCACTGTGCAGACCCAGAGCTACTCCA